TTTTTTTTTTTTTTTTTTAGCAGCCATTAATTTTGTTAAAGCACGTCAGTTTCATTTCAAAATATTTTTTCTAGTGCTAATTTATTACTAAAGTAACAAACAAACAAACAAAAACACACACACACACACACACGCACACACACACAAATAAAATAAGGTAAATTACCTTGTCACCAACTTGGTGAAAATCATTTTCTCTAATCATAGTAGCAGACTTAGCTTTAAGTTGACCACTATAACTTGTAGCAAGAATGAAGAGATCTTGTCTTTTGTTCTTTTCTTCTTCTCGCACCTACACAGAAAAGCGTAAGTTACTACTTTGTTTACTACATTTCAATTTCAAAAAATATACATAGTATATTCAACAAACCTTTTCTATTTTTCTTTCTATAATTTGCCGTAACTTAGCTAAAACTGGAAAATGTGGCAGTATTTTGATGAGAATGATAAGTGAATTTCTTATTTGTACGTAATCTTTTGAGTCCAAACAAACTACCATTGCTTTTGTAATTTTGTAGTGCCATTTGTGGCAAACATGTCTGTAATTTTCGTAACCAACATGATCATTGGCTTCAGAAAACTGATTACTCACACGAAATTTTGTCACAAAGCCAGGATAATTAGCACATTCCTGTGAACATTAGAATGAAACAATGCAGCTATTATTCAATAAGAACACTGACAACATATGCAGGTAAATACCAGTTTCATTAAAATAATACAATATTACACAGATTGTAGTTCAACTCACCTTTTCAAAAGTTGATTTCTCTGAATGCCACCGCATCACAGTCTCTAACATAGCACATAGAAATCGGCCATACCTATTTGCTTCATTCTCTGTGCAAGATGTAACAGAATAGGTGATGTCACAAAACAACTAGAACAGAAAAAAAACATCACAGGAATTCAATTATAGTAACTAGAACAATATCTCTAGAGGTGTCTCAATTAGGGTAATTTTCAACATGAAAAAATGGAACAATTTAACTTAATAACAAATGGTGCTACAGAATGGCATAGACTTTCTCATACTAGTTAGTTTTCTAATTTTTTTGGACTGGCCTAGCTTCTTTATCTTGCCTTACACTATTATCAGCTGACATATATCGCCATGCAAAGTACATTTTTTAA